AAGTACAGTTGGGGTTTTACCATGTTGGTCAGGCTGATCTCAAATTCCTGACCTCAGGTGATCCACCCACCTCAGGATTACAGGCGTGAGCCACTGAGCCTGGTAGAAGCCAGTCTTATCTGATAGCTACTCATACCACCTGCTTTGACTCTAAGATGAGTTTCACTTGCTGTCACTCACCAGTCAGAGCTGGCCAGTGACCCCAGATTTTATTGGTGCCGATGAACTTTCCGAAAAACATTATTTACATTTCTCCTTCTAATAACACCTGAAACTTCCTCTTTGTTCTTCAGACATATTGAAGACCACTTACTTGGTCTGTGTGTAGGACCAAAATTACAATTCTTGCTTCCCAAATAAAATGTTAAATTTAGAGATTAATCTCTATATTTAACTTTTTTTTTTTTTTTTTTGAGACAGGGTCTCACTCCATTACCCAGGCTGGAGTACAGTGGCAAGATCTCAGCTCATGGCAACCTCCGCTTCTGGGTTCAAGTGATTCTCTGCCTCAGCAGAGAGTCACTGAGTAGCTGGGACTACAGGCACGCACCACCACGCCTGGTTAATTTTTGCTATTTTTAGTAGAGACAGCGTTTCACCACATTGGCCAGGCTGGTCTTGAACTTCTGACCTCAGGTAATCTGCCCACCTCAGCCTCCCAAAGTGCTTGGATTACAGGCGTGAGCCACTGCACGCAGCCTAATCTCTATATTTTAATCCTTGACTTTGACACACTGGAAAGTGCTTTTCTGGCTGTATCCAGCCTTCTGCTGAAATCACTTATGAGGAGTTTCAGGTGGTACCAGCCTCACCCCTTCCTTTGTTAAGTTCCTCAGAAAGAAATTTGTCAGGGTATTCGTAGGATGAACTGAATTTAGAGGTTCATCTGGGAGACATGAATCTTGCTGTCATGAATGGGTACATTTTTTGTTTATTCACACCTTTCTGTTCTCAACAATATTTTGCTCTAGTTGTTTTTTTTTTTTTCTTTTAAATTTTTTTTTTCTTTTTTAAGATGGGGTTTCACCATGTTGGTCAGGCTGGTCTTGAACTCCCGACCTCAGGTGATCCGCCCACCTTGGTCTCCCAAGTGCTTGGATTACAGGTGTGAGCCACCACGCCCGGCCCTCTAGTTGTTTTTTAATAAACCAAATTAAAAAAAACTTCTTTTAGATATGGAGTCTCATTATGTTGCCCAGGCCTATCTCAAACTCCTGGTCTCAAGAGATCCTCCAGCCTCAGTCTTCCAAAGTTCTAGGGTTATAGGCGTGAGCCACCGCAACTGGCCAATAAACCAAATTTTAATACCGCACTAAAGCTCTGGATCTGTGTGGCACCAATAGGCTTTTGAGAAGTCTGTTTAGAAGTCCTCAGGCTTGCCAAAAGCCCATGGGGCAGGGACAGAGAATCAGGGAGGATTCAGTTGTGCTCATTTATCTTATATACGAGCTACTGCCTAGAAGCTGGAAAAAGGGGCTTAGTGCTAAAGACGTTAGAGAATCTTTACTCAACTTTTAAAAAACTCACGGCAAAATATACAAACATAAAACATACCATCTTTGTCATTTTTTAAAAGCACAGTTCTGTAGCACTGTCTGTTCCCATTGTTAGGCAGCCGGGCTCCAGAGCTTTCTCATCTGATAACTGAAACTCTACACCCACTTCACAGCTCCCCAAGTCTGCACTCTAGACTTTCTAAAGGCAACTGAATGGGTGACTTCAGTCACAAAATAAAATTACCCACATGTCTGTTGAAGGATACAACATAAATATGTAAATAGTTGATTTTTTTTTAAGCCTTTCTGTGAGATCACTCAACTTTCTAAACTCAGTGGAAGAATCTGGAAGGAATGATTCTTCAGGTTATGACGGGGGTCTGCGGAGCTTTTCTGAAATGGTGGACATCAAGTGAAGAGTGTGTATTCTAGGCTCTGGCCTTGGTTGTATTGACTGACAGGTAGGTACAAACTTGGCAGGCTAGGTGAACTGTAGAGCCTGCCTTCCCTTTTTATTATGGAATCTTTGTAAATCAAAAGCCTCAAAGTTGTTTTATTTTCTCTTATTTATTTTTATTTTTATTTTTTAGACGGAGTCTCATTCTGTTGCCCAGGCTGGAGTGCAGTGGTACGATCTTGGCTCACTACAACCTCTGCCTCCCAGGTTCAAGCGATTCTCTGCCTCAGCCTCCCAAGTAGATGGGACTACAGGTACATGCCACCATGCCTGGCCAATATTTGGATTTTTTGTAGAGATGGAGTTTGTCTTGATGTCCAGGTCAGTCTTGAACTGTTAACCTCAAGTGATCCACCAGCCTCAGCCTCTCAAAGTTCTAGAATTACAGGTGTGAGTCACTGCACTCGGCCTCAAAGTTGTTTTGTAATTAGTAGGTGTTGGAAATAGATGCTCGGCGCCACAAGGAAAAATTAGCACTGAGACGAAGGATCTTTCAGCAACGCAACTTTTACTTCTTGGACTGCAGGAAGGGTGCCCTCGTTAGTCATTGTGCCATGAGAGTACAATGAACAAAGGAAAACAGACTAATTTATCCTTTACAGTTTTGGGGTTGTCCTTACTGCTGTGTCTGATCTCTGTTGGCTGGAGATCAAAATTCTAAAGGTTAAGTAAGTGTAAGTGTGCATGCAAAAGCAGTGTGAGTGGTTCCTCTCTGCAAAATCTGTAAGCATTTCATACAGCCTGGAAGCCAGAGATGCAAAGAAGGGGAGGACAATTCAGAGGCTAAGCAAGCATCCCTGCCCAGCTTGTAGGGGTGGCTGGGTGGCTGGAAAAGGCCTGGTGCTTTGGGTTCCAGATGCTTTTCAGTTCCAGCTCCCTCAAATGTAACAGTGTTACCTTTGAAGCCTGACTTTCTTCCTCATCTGAAAAAATGAGGATAATTCTTATATTGCAGGGTTTTCTGAAGATTAGAAATGATATATACGGCTGGGTGCAGTGGCTCATGCCTATAATCCCAGCACTTTGGGAGGCTGAGGAGGGGGGGATCACTTGAGCTCAGGAGTTCAAGACCAGCCAGGGCAACACTGTGAGACCCCATCTCTACCAAAAAAAAAAATAATTAGCTAGGCGTGGTGGCACCTGCCTGTGGTTCCAGCTACTTGGGAGGCTGAGAAGGGAGGATTTCTTGAGTAGGAGAGGTAGAGGCTGCAGTAAGCCATGATTGTGGCACTGTACTCCAGCCTAGGCAATAGAGTGGGACCTTATCTCAAAAAGAAAAAGAAAAAAAGAAAGAAAGAAAGCAATGATATATAATGTGTCTATAATAATGGTGTGAAACAAATAGCTGGTGCTCACCAAAGAGGAGTTTCCACTGTAATTAGTACTGCCATGTATATAACTTTTTTTTTGAGACAGAGATGGGGTTTCACCATGTTGGCCCGGCTGGTCTTGAACCTCCGTGGGTCAAGTGCTGGATTACAGGCATGACCCACCATTCTTGGCCCCAGATGCATTTTCTTTTTCCTTCTTTCATTTCTCTTTCTTTCTTTCCCTCTTTCTTTTCCTGCCCTCTCTCTCTCTCTCTCTCTCTCTCCTCTCTCTCTCTCTCTCTCTCCCCTCTCCTTTTTGAGACAGAGTCTCCCTCTGTTGCCCAGGCTGGAGTACAATGGCATGATCTCAGCTCAAGTTCAAGTGATTCTCCTGCTTCCCAAGTATTTAGGATTACTGGTGCCCACCATCATGCTGGGCTAATTTTTGTATTTTTAATAGAGACAGGGTTTAACCACGTTGGCTGGGCTAGGCTGGTCTCAAACTCCTGACCTCAGGTGATCCACCCACCTTGGTCTCCCAAAGTGCAGTGAGCTACTGCACCAGACCTGGTTTGCTATCTGACCCGTCCAAATCTCGTGTTGAAATGTGATCCTCAATGTTGGAAGTGAAGCCTGGTGGAAGGTGGGTCATGGGAGCACACCCCTCATGGCTTGGTGCAGTCCTCACACTAATGAGATAATGAGTGAATTCTCACTATGTTAGTTACCAAGAGAACTGATTTTCAAAAAAAGCCTGGCACCTTCCTCCCCTCTCTCCTGCTCCCTCTCTCACCATGTGACCTATCAGCTCCCCTTCAGCTCCACCATGAGTGAAAGCTTCCTGAGGTCTCACTAGGAGCAGATGCTGGCGCCAGGCTTCCTCAACAGCCCGCAGAACCATGAGCCAAATAAACCTCTTTTCTTTATAAATTACCCAGTCTCGGGTAATCCTTTATAGAGACACAAACAGATTAAGACATAATGCCATTTACGGGGAAAGGGAGGCTTGGAAACAACCTAGATATCCCAAAAAAGGAGTGGCGTAAAAATGATCTTCATGAAGGATTTGATAAAAGTAGTGATTGGAATTCTAATACTGATTGGAAAATGCCAGTAAGTGAAAAAAGCTGAATAGCTGTTTATAACTGCAATTTCCCACCAAACCTAAATGTTCCTTAGTAAGAGATGAATTAATACAATAAAAATAAAATGAATGAATACAATAAAATTAAAAATGACTAAGTACACCAGGCATGGTGGCTCATGCCTGTAATCACAGCACTTTGGGAAGTCAAGGTGGGCAGATCGCTTGAGCTGCAGAGTCCAAGACCAGCCTGGCCAACATGGCAAAATCCTGTCTCTACAAAAAATATTAGCTGGATTTGGTAGTATGCTCCTGTAGTCCCAGCTTCTCAGGAGGCTGAAGTGGGAAGTTAGCTTGAGCCCAGAAGGTCAAGTTGCAGTGAGCTGAGATTGCATCACTGCAACCCAGCCTGGGAGACAGAGTCTCATTCTGTCTCAAAAAAAAATTGACTGAGTAAAAACAGAAGGACCATGAAAATATGTTCTCAATTACTGTCATAAGTAACACAATCTTAAATATATATTTAAATATGTGAGTATGTATATACACACACACATGCTGGACAGAAAGCCTGGAAGGATATTCAGCCAAAGTTAGGAAGAAATACCTCTCTGGAGGGGGCTGGATTTCCGGGCTTTTATTACTGTTTTTCACATTTGGTAGGTAACGTGCTGACATCATAACAAGATTTGCGAGAAGTACATCTCACTCACACAAGAGCAAGAAAAGCCAATCATCAACTTATAAACTACAAAAGGCTTCTAATTTTCTTTCTTTCTTTTTTTTTTTTTTAAAGATGGGGTTTCACCATGATGGCCAGGCTGGTTTTGAACTCCTGACCTCAGGTGATTCACCCACCTCAGCCTCCCAAAGTGCTAGGATTACAGGTGTGAGCCACCACACCCAGCTCTTAATTTTCTTTATAGTTTTAGAGAAACATTTTTGGTTATGGTCATGAATTAGTTATATATAGCCAGGAAAACCAATAAAGCTATTTCCATTTTTTCAAAAAGGGAAAAAGTTGGGCTAGATAATTTGTGTGGTTATGATCTCTACTACCTACAGCTGTTCAGAGAAGGACACCAGAAGGACATACTGCATGGCGAGCCCCATTGTTCCCTCTGTGCCTTCACGCAGGTGTGTTTACTTTCTGAGAATGTATCATTTCCAGAGTTAGCAAAGAGAAAAGCTGGGATGCCTAGAATAACTGTTAATAGTGATTGTCTTTGGCTAAAGGAGCTTACAGAGATTGCTGTATTACTTTTAAAAAATTACTACTATGTATTGTGGTAAAACATATATGGCATAGGTCCGGCATGGGGGCTCATGCCTGTAACCCCAGTACTTTGGGAGACAAAGGCGGGTAGATCACTTGAGGTCAGGAGATCAAGACCAGCCTCACCAATATGGCAAAACCTAGTCTCTACTAAAAATCCAAAAATTAGCTGGGCAAGGTGGCACATGCCTGTAATCTCAGCTACTCACGGAGCTGAGGCTGGAGAATCGCTTCAACCCAGGAGGCAGAGGGAGGCTGCAGTGAGCCAAGATCACACCACTGCACTCCAGCCTGGGCAGCAGTGTGAGACCATCTCAAAAAATAAAAAAAAAAAAAAAAACCACAAAAACAAACCATACATGGCATAGTATTTATGAAAGAACAGTATTTTGAGAGAAGCACATCTCACTCACACAAGAGAAAGAAAGCCAATCATCACACTTTTAAACTACAAGAGGCTCCTAATTTTCCTAATTTTAAGCATCCATAAAATTCGTAAAGTGGAGAGTGCAGGGACCTTGGGCACATTCACACTGCTGTGCCATGTCACCACCATCAGAACGCTTCCATGTTCTCAAATTGAAACTCTCCCCACCAAACTAACTCCCCGTGCATCCCCTCCCCTAGCTTTGGTGGCCACCACCCACTTTCTGTCCCAGAATGTGACCACTCTAGGGACCCCAGGCCGTATTGGTTTCTTGGCTACTGAGCCAGGTCTCTTCTGGGCATGCTCATGAGCTTCTGTCTCAGTGCAGGGGAGTTGGGCGAGAGCTGAAGGAGGAGACAGTCCTGCCAGAGAGGCTTGCAGGGGCGAAACAGGAATACTGGAGAATGGTATTTAGAAACCAAAGTCTGGGTGCTGGGTGTGCTCACTGCTACTGGGGCGTCACCACTTCCAATCATTCTCAGTGGAGAGAGCTAGGAAATCCACAGAGGTGTACTAGCCCAACACACTGCATTTTGTTGTCATGTTTTTCTGGTCTCTTTTAGTCTGTAATAGTTTTTGTGCCTTTGTCTCTCATTCCACTGGTATTTTAAAAGAAGGCAGAACCTGGTCAACAAGGTGAAACCCCGTCTCTACTAAAAATACAAAAATTAGCTGGGCGTGGTGGTGCGTGCCTGTAGTCCCAGCTACTCAGGAGCTGAGGCAGGAGAATTGCTTGAACCCAGGAGGCGGAGGTTGCAGTGAGCCGAGATCGTGCCATTGCACTCCAGTCTGGGTAACAACAGTGAAACTCCGTCTCAAAAAAGAAAAAAAAAGAAGAAGGCAGAAATCACAATTTTTTTTTAATGGAATACTTCAGGAATTTTTGTGTCATCCTTGCACAAGGGCCATGCTAATCTTCTCTGTATCATTCCAATTTTAGTATATGTGCTGCTGAAGCGAGCACATAAATCACAATTTTTATGTAAAATCTCTTAAATTGAATGTTGATAACAAACTTAAAGTTTTAAAAAGCCTAGAGTGAGCCATATGAATACATGTGCTAGGCAGATTTGATTCATGGTTGCTCTGTGACGGGTGCTCAGAAGCAGACTGTAACAGTGGCAGGTGGCTGAGGTTGGAATCAACCCAGAGGCCCCTCTGGAGGTCACTCATTGTCTGGGAGTGGGTGTGACTCTTGGACCCTAATCTTGCTGGGCTGGAGAATGTTTCCACAGGACCAGAACTGGTCCCTGGTGGGACACCTTGAACCACAGCAGTACTTCTGACCTGGGCAGGGGTCCTGGAGGAGACCACCTGCCCCAAGGACACACAGCCTGGTGCTCTTGTCATGCCTGTTGGGGGTGAACTGGGCATCTCAGTGTGAGGTCAGCATCCTGCGCAGGGCCAGCAGAGCTCAGGGCAGTGGCACTGGGTGCTCGATATGCACCCAGGTGTCAGTGCCTCTTCCTCCTAGGAAGGCAGAGGGTACAGGTGCAAGGTGTAGGGCACAGGTGGGCAGTGGGAGCCCTCAAAAACAGGGGGAACATAAGCCCCAGGTAGATGTGCCTTCCCCAGAACTGTGTCCTGGTGGAGATCAACCCTGGATTTGATGGGGAGATCTTGCCCTAATCTCAGCCCCCAACTTTGTTTTCTTTTCTTTTTTTTTTTTTCCTGATAGAGTCTTGCTCTGTTGCCCAGGGTGGAGTGCAGTGGCACAATCTTCACTGCTCACTGCATTCTCCACCTCCTGGGTTCAAGCAATTCTCCTGCCTCAGACTCCCAAGTATTATAGGCACCACAACCACACCTGGCTAACTTTTTTGTATTTTTGGTAGAGACAGGTTTTCACCATATTGGCCAGACTGGTTTTGAACTCCTGACCCCAAGCAATCCTCCTGCCTCAGCCTCCCAAAGTGCTAGGATTATAGGCATGAGCCACCATGCTGGCCACAGCCCCTAATTATGTGGCCTTGGGAAGTGAAGTGACTTCCTTTCTTGGGACTCGGTTTCTTTGAAGGCAAATGGGCAGGGTTGGACTAGAGGTGAGGTCTTTGGAGCCGTGTGGTTTCTCACTGTGTCTCAGGGCTGACCACAGGGGATAGGTGGAACTGGGGTGGTGGAACTCCAAGAACCCCCAGACTTGCTTTAACCTTAGTAGCTCCACATAATTTTGTTTATGTATTGACTGGGCTTCCACACAAAATTTCACTGGAGAAAAGGATTCAGTGCTTAAGTACAAATCCCTGGCTGATATTCCAAGACACTGTGGGTCTGCAGCTAATTTATGCTAAAGTGATGCTACAGTACAGCACAGGCCACCTCACATCCCCCTAGAACAAGCGTGTCCAACCTGTAGGCTGTGGGCTGCATGAAGCCCAGGACAGCTTTGAATGTGGCCCAACACAAATTCATAAACTTTGTAAAACATTATGACTTTTTTTGTGATTTTTTTTTTTCTTTTTTGAGACAGAGTCTTACTCCGTCACCAGGCTGGAGTGCAGTGGCGCAATGTCGGCTCACTGCAACCTCCACCTGGGTTCAAGTGATTCTTCCGCCTCAGCCTCCCGAGTAGCTGGGACCACAGGCGCGTGCCACCACGCCCGGCTAATTTTTGTATTTTTAGTAGAGACAGGGTTTCGCCATGGCCAGGATAGTCTCGATCTCTTGACCTCGTGATCCGCCCGCCTCGGCCTCCCAAAGTGCTGGGATTATAGGCGTGAGCCACTGCGCCCGGCCTATGATTTTTTTTTTTAAGCTTGTCAGCTATCATTAGTTAGAGTGTTTCAAGAATTTCTCAAGACAGTTCTTCTTCACAAACGAGTGAAGCACGTGATGGGGCCTGTGGTGAAATAGCTCGTGCCCTATGTGACAGAGACAGGGCCATGGGAGCGGGCTAGGCCCTGCAGGAAGAATAAATGAGGAGAAGAGGGAGTCCATGATGGATGGAGACTGAAGTGGAGTGGCTGGAGAGGCAGGAGGAAAGCTGGAGAGCTGGAGTCTCAGAAACCGGGAGGACAGTTTCCAAAAAGATGGACTTGCCACCTGTGCCCAGTGCTGCACAATTAGCTGACAGCTCAAGTTCTGCCTCCATAACAGACACCGCGGCCTGCTGTCTTATATGTTGAGATCGGATTTCGTGTTACAGCAGAGAAAGAGGCCTCCTGGTGAGCAGGTGGCCAGCAGAGAGGCCAGTGATCAGGAAGAGTGGCCGGATGGTGAGTTGGTGGTTACAGCTGCTGGTAAAATTACCCTATACAGGCTGGGTGCAGTGGCTGCTCATGCCTAGTAGTCCCAGCACTTTGGGAGGCTGAGGCTGGCTGATCAGCCAGTTCAAGATCAGCCTGGGAACATGATCAAACCCTACAAAACTTAGCCGGGTGTGGAGGTGCATGTCTTTGGTCCCAGCTACTCGGGAAGCAGAGGTGGGAGGATCGCTTGAGTCCAGGAGGCCGAGGTTGTGGTGAGCCATGATCAGACCACTGCACTCCAGCCTGGGAGACAGAACGAGAGACCCTGTCTCAAGAAAAAAAAAATTACCTTTGCAAATTCCCCACATGCAGGCAGGTCTTAAAAATTCTCTTGAAGGAGATAACCAAAAGGAGGCCATCATGCTGACTTTTGGGATAGATGGGGGCTGCTAACACCATGGACATCTTGCTTATGAGGGGTGAGGGTATGCAGTGGTGAGGCGCTAGTGCTAACAGCTCTGGTGACGGTGGGGGGAATGGTGGTACGCGTGCAGAGGGGATGATGTCAGAAACTGTGGTGGTGATGGGGGCGCCCGGAGGTCAGTGTGAGGCTGGTGGCAGGGGAGGTGGTGTGGATGGATGTCAGGGAGGGGAGATTGTGTGAATTGCTGGTGGAGTTGCCCATGCAGGGGCAGGGTTGGTACTGAGGCTGGGCTGCTGCTGCTGGATGCTGAAATGTTATCCCTAGTGTGCTTGCATTAGGAGGCAGGGCCTTTGGGAGGTAATTAGGGCCCTTATAAAAGTGCTTGAGGTTGGCCAGGTGCGGTGGCTTTGGGAGGCCAAGGCAGGCTCATCGCTTGAGCCCAGGAGTTTGAGACTAGTTTGGGTAACATGGTAAGACCCCATCTTTGTCAAAAATTAGCTGGGTGTGGTAGCACATGCCTATAGTCCCAGTTACTGGGGAGGTTGAGGCGGGAGGCTGCACTGAGCCGTGATCATGCCACTGCATTCCAGCCTGGGTGACACAGCAAGATCCTGTCTCAAAAAAAAAAAAAGTGTGAGGGAGCTGTCTGCCCCTTCTATCCATTTGGTCCCTCTCCCCCGAGAGGAAGAGGACCCTCACCAGGCACTGGCATTCAGATCTTGGACTTCTCAGGCTTCAGAACCATGAGAAATCAGTGTTCACTGTTTACAGTACCGGACTGTGGCATTTGGTTGTAGCAACAAAAACTGCAAAGGCAGATGATGACTTTCCAGGGAGTCACCGTCTCCTGGGGTGCTTGTGTGACCAGCCATCCACCTTGGGAAATCCCTGCCTGGCTTCAGAGGGCCCTCCACCCTCCCCGCCCTCACTCACGGCCCGGGCAGCCCGCAGGTTCTCACTGGACCGAGCAGGACAGGGCCCGGAATCACCGGTGTGTACACACAGCCTCAGGAAGGCACCGGAGCAGGGGCATCTGTGTTGCACTCCATGTTAGGGGTAGGAGACTGAAGGGTCTTAGTTCCAGGGTCCCCGTGGGCATGGAAGCTTTTGGGGGAGCACTTTTCACGTGTGAAAGAGAACATCCAGGTTACCTAGGTCTCCATCCTCTTCCACGCAGTGGGTGGCAGAACAGCTCCCTCCTCACAGGCTCCCACAGGGAAACCCGAGGGTGACCCATGGGAGGTGCTGCATGCAAGCCTTGGACACACCTGGTGCCCAGGGCGCAGATGCCAGCTTTTACGATCGTTCTTCTTAGGCAGCTGTGTCACAGCAGAAATCACAGACTCAGCCCGATCCAATTGGCTGGCGTTCTATTTGTCCTGCTTATGTATTTCCTAAAATTTTCTATTTAGTTGCCAACACTTAAAGACTTCAGAGTTCACATAACAATCTAGCTTTCCAAGTTCTGTGGAAGAATGGGACGCCTGGCACCTGGACCCCATCTCCACAAGGTGACAATAGGCTGAGGCCCTCTGGATGGAACTCAGGCTCCCTGGTTTCCCACAGTCCTTGTCGCTCCTTACTGGCCCTGCCTCTGAGTTTGGGACTCCTGCTCCCACCTGAGCTCTGTGAGTCGGTGCCTGCCAGTTGCACTCTGCGCCTGCTTGGTCTGCCTGGTGGAATCTTCCGACCCACAGGCCCACCTAAGCTGGTCTGCTGGTTACACATGGAGTCCCTCCAGGGACAGGGTCCCAGTGTAATAATATTTGGATTTGGCCTTGTTTGAAGGATTTGGTGACCACTTGGCTTGGGGTAGGAGGAGGACCCCAGGGTTTGGAGATACAGATGTTAGCCCTGTAGGAGCTTGTTTTCCATGAGAAAGAGAGGGATTTGTTTTGTTTCTGAAGGAGTCGGGCAGAGAGGAGAAAAAGGAGAGAGAAGACGTGGGAGAGGACCGGCCAGGTGAGCCCCGGCAGCCTCACGGCCAAGGTGGAGTGGTCAGAGGCCACGATGGAAAAGGGCCCGCCAAGCCATTTCTGTCGTAGGGATGAACCCCTCCTTTCCTCCCTCCAGGACCTTCGGGACACCCTGCCCTGCTCACAGCCATGCTGGGAGAGGGAGCTTTCTGGGGAATGTGGTGAGGTCTGGGCTCCAGTGCGAAGCTGGCCTGGGCTGTCCAGGGTGACCCACGCCGGAAGCAGATGGCAGAGGCCATGAGACCCAGAGTCCCAGGGCCTGGCTTGGGAGGAGACTGTGCAATTAAAAGTGACTGGGTGGAAGAGGTGGGCAGCCCATTTTATTAGGAACTCAAGAGACAAGGAAGCCCCAGCTGATGTCTGGTTATAACGAAATGAAGCCAGGTTTTCAGAAGGAGCCAGACTCAAGTGCTGAGAGGGAAAAAAGGAAAAATCTCTGTTCTTCTATAAAATGGCTGAGCTGCCAGTTTATTTTGGGCTTCTAGCAGTTGGGGGTGACCAGGCTTGTTAGAGTCTGGGGATCTGCCTCAGGGACTGGCCCCCTGGCCTGGGGCCAGGGGTTCTGGGGGCCCGGCTCAGTCCAGGGCCTCTCTGGTGGTACACAGCAGGCCAGCCAGGAGAGCCAGGCCCAGCACAGCCACAGCGATCAGCGCCACGTCCCACAAGACCCCCAGGCGCATCCAGGATGCCTGCAGCTGCCAGCCGCAGCTGCCCAGCTGGTAGCCTGTCAGCCGGCCCAGCAAGCTGTCGGCAGCAAGGCTGGGGCTGGCACAGCGGACCTGAAACAGGGCCTCGGGTGTGCGGTCCTCCAGCCAGAGGCGCAGGTAGGTGAGGCTGCAGTCACAGTGCCACGGGTTCTGCGTCACGTCGAGGGTCTGCAGCTGGGGCAGGTGGTCGAAGGCTCCTGGGGGCACAGACTGAAGGCTATTGTTGGCCAGCAGGAGGTGGCGAGTGTGTGCTGGCAGGGCAGGCAGGGCTGTGAGCCCACGGTCCCTGCAGTCCACCCACAGCCCCATGGTCTCCAGGGCGCGGCAGGAACACAGGATGGGACAGTCCTTGGTGGCCTCTGCTGTGGCCCAGAGCAGGAACAGGGCTCCCCAGGCAGGCATGTGGCAGGCTGGCTGCAGAAAGAGGGGCTGTGAGGGAGGTCCTGGCAGCTGCACCCATCCTCAGGGACAGTAAGCACCGGGGTGCAGCGGAGCCTGGCATGGGGCGAGGCACACTCCCCTCCTTTCTTGGTCCTTGGCCTTCTCCTCTGGGAAACTGGCTGGTGACTGGGGAAGGTGAAACGTGCCCAGTCCAGGCCTGGCAGACCCTCTCTGGACACAAAGGCAGGGCAGTGAGGAAGGCTGTGGATTGGGGGTAAGTTTGATTTTTGGGAAGGGAAGGGACTTCCTGTCCCTTAGCAGAGACCCCAGTCCCTGCTTGGGGATGAGAGGAACAGATGATGGGTAAATGAGTCCCAGCCCAGGACCACAGTCCCCAGAGACCAGGAAAGAGCCTTGGAGGGGCCTCCAGGCTTCATCCAGAATCCCCCACTGGCTAAGTGAGCTGTTACCTGATTCCCAGATGCAGAAGACAGTGGGATGTGGACACTGGCTGGGGCAGGGAAGGGATCCCAGTGGGGCCCCCTTTGGAAAGCCACGCATCTGGGCTAACACCAAGAGTTGGAGAAACTGAGGCCCAGAGAGGGAAAGCAGTATGCCCAGGGCCACCTGGTATGGTGTCAGAGGCCAGACTCACACTCAGGTCTTGTGAATAGAACTCTGCCCTCTGTTTGGTTCTTCCTTCCAGGCGTTTCCCTTCCACAAAAAGTGCTCCCCACACCCACAGCAGGCTTCCAGTGCATAGGCATTGGATCAGCTCATTAATCTTGACTCAGCCAAGGAGATGGTGCCTTAGAGAGAATGTCCCCACCCAACCCTGTCTTGTAGAGGTGACAGGAGCTGATCTCCTCTCTCCCTGTGGGAGGCAGTGCTGGGTAATACTGAGGGCCACTTACCTGTGAGGCCTTGGGTTGGGTGCTCCTGTCTGGCCTGAAAGCTCCTGGCTGAGGCCTGCGTGGCAACTCTATGAGATGCAGCTGAGGTGGCTGCTGCAGAAGCAGGCAGAAGGAAGTAATGAAAATAGCCTGGCTTATCACCCTAGTGCAGCCTGGGGCCTATTTCCAGAGGCAGGAGGCCCTCAGAGGCCTGCGCCTTGGGCACAGAACTACATCTCAACCCCTGTTTATGGAAGGGGGGGTCCCACCATAGCGCCAGTGCTGCGGTGGGCTTTGGGATCGGGTCCGTGGAGGACTGAGGTGGCCTCTCACCTACTCCCAGGAGGTGGGGAAGGAGGAGACCCCCAAGAAACGTGGCTCTGCTGGTTGTTCCTCTGGATCTCAGTTTTCCTCATCTGTAAAGTGGGAGCAATGCCCCCATCTTGCCTGCCTCACAGAGGCAGCTCCCACCGGCTGAGAACGCCTTGGCGGGGCGAGTGACTTTGTTTTTAACTTTCCTCTCTTGTTCTGCATGCTCAAGGACAGACTCTCCTCTTGGTACCATGGTGTTCTCGGCTCCTGCCTAGTGCTCCCCTATCCCTCTTTCTAACAAACAACTGCAGGCCTGGGAAGCAAAACCTCTACCAGGCGTGAGTCTCTAGCTAGAATTCTGGCCTATGGTTTTAACATTTGCAGTACATTTCCTTCTAGAGCCACATTCTACTTAGAGGACGGACATTATTTTCCATTTATGTTAGTGACATAAAGCTCCCTTTAAAAGATAAGTGTATTTTGGACCGGGTATGGTGGCTCGCGCCTGTAATCCCAGCACTTTGGGAGGCCGAGGAGGGCGGATCACCTGAGATCCGGAGTTGGAGACCAGCCTGGCCAACAGGGTGAAACCCCATCTCTACTAAAATACAAATATTAGCCAGGCATGATGGCACACGTCTGTAATCCCAGCTACTCGGGAGGCTGAGGCAGGAGAAATCACTTGAACCCAGGAGGTGCAGGTTGCAGTGAGCTGAGATCATGGCGTTGCACTCCAGCCTGGGCGACAAGAGCGAAACTCCATCAAAAAAAAAAAAAAAAAGATTAATGTCTTTTAAATTTAATTGTCTTTCTTTGAGTCAGGTTCTCGCCCTGTTGCCCAGGCTGGAGTGCAGTGGCACCATTGCCCACAGCTGCCTCGACCTCCTGGGCTCAAGCGATACTCTCACCTCAGCCTCCTGAGTAGCTGGGACCACAGGCACACCACCACACCTGGCTAGGTTTTAAAAATATTTTTAATAGAGACAGAGTTTCACAATGTTGCCCAGGTTGGTCTTGATCTCCTGTGCTGAAGCCATCCTCCCACTTTGGCCTCCCAAAGTGCTGGAATTACAGGTGTGAGCCACCATGCCTGGCCTAATTGTATTTTTAGTGCTACCAAATATTAATCAAAATTAAGTCTAACAGTAAAATATCATAAATACTTATATTATAAAATTAAAACAGGCTGGGGTGCAGTGGCTCATACCTGTAATCCTAGCACTTTGGGAGATTGAGGCAGGTGGATCACCTAAGGTCAGGAGTTCAAGACCAGCCTGGTCAAGATGGTGAAACCCCATGTCTACTAAAAAATACTGAAGTTAGCCAGGTGTGGTGGCTGGTGCCTGTAATCCCAGCTACTCAGAAAGCTGAGGCAGGGAATTGCTTGAACCCAGGAGGCGGAGGTTTCAGTGAGCCGAGATTGCGCCCCTGCACTCCAGCCTGGGCAACAGAGTGAGACTCTGTCTCAAAAAAAAAAAATAATTAAAACATTAATATATATAATGTATAATAAACCATAACAATTTTACTACCATGAAATATTAACTAAGTCAATCAATGGCTTGAAAAGATGGTGGAATTTGAGCATGCGTAGAGCATGCATAAAGAACCGGAGCATGCAATGACATTTTACTGTTAGGCTTAATTTAAGGATGACTGAATTTTGGGATGGATGAAGTTTGGGAGCTCCTGGAATACAGCAATGCTTGGGAACATATACAAAGTTCTAGCAACACAAGTAAATGGGTTCCCTGGCCACTGAGGAGGGATAAGGAAGGGGGCCCGTGGGGCATCCCCCTGGGTCACCACTGCTGTCAGTCAGGGACATCAAATCCAAGTAGAGGGTCCTGGGTCCCCATTCTGGGGGTGCTCAGCAGGGCTTAGGCTGGAGAGGAAAACAGGCCTGGAGCAGCCCTGCCGCTGGCTGAGGCCACGTTGGATCTTGATTTTTATCGTGGCCAAGATGGAGGGAATCAGGATGTTCTCCAATTGGCTCTTGTTCTTTAAAACAGGGTCGCCAGATGTGGTGGCTCACACCTGTAATCCCAGCATTTTGGGAGGCCGAGGCAGGTGGATCACCTGAGGTCTGGAGTTCGAGACCAGCCTGGCCAGCATGGTAAAACCTCATCTCTACCAAAACAAAAAATACAAGAATTATCTGGGCATAGTGCCGGGTGCCTGTAATCTCAGCTACTCTGGAAGCTGAGTTAGGAGAATTGCTTGAACCCAGGAGGCGGATGTTGCAGTGAGTGGAGATTATTACACCATTGCACTCCAGACTGGGTAAGAGAGCAAGACTCCATCTCAAAATAATGATAATAATTTAAAAAACACAGAAGTTACAGGAGCCTGACAGGAAAACCCAAGGACAAAGGGCTGACAGAAGCTTTAAACGCACTTCATTGACACGCAGGACCCTTGGGAATATTCCTCAGCCCTATGGGTGGGGGTGTGCCTGTTCTTACTTTGGTCCCACACCCCTCTCAGGCCAGCCTCCCTCCTCCTACGTGGCCAGGCAGGGCCAGGCCTTCCTTGGGAGGCCTGGGCGTCCTTTCCAGCTCACAGAGGGGCCTCCTGTTCTCTCCCCCGCCGCTTGGTTCTGCTCTCGGGGCAGGAGTTGGGTGTTCACCCTCGTAGACCCTGAAAGGCTACAAGACAGGCCTGGATCCCACAGGCCCCAGCTCTGTTTCCCCCACCCACTACTGCTAGGCTCAGAGAAGCGGGGAGAAGGTGCTGTTCCCCCACCACTGTCACACCCACTCTGGGGCCTGCTTCCTCCTGGGGTCTCCTGGTGTGTGCTCAGTGGGGACTCTGACTGGAGTCTGAACCTGGAGAGGAGCCTCAGCCTGTCTGGGCCTTCCCTCCCTCCCCATGGAGCTCTGGCGTGTTCCGCCTTCTCTGCCCTGCACACATTCACCAGTGAGCTCCACGCAGGTGGGTAAGGGGTTCTGGAGTGAGTGGGGGTGCTGCAGCCGCCAGACCAGATCTGGTCAAAACAGATTTCCTTATTTTCAGCATGTACAACCTAAAACAAAAAACCACGTCAATATACATGGGTTTTGTGAATTAAAAACCTACATAAATAATAAATAAATGATTTTCAGTGTGGGAAATTAGAATGTTCAGATGAACAGGAAGAAGAAAAGAAAAATTTCCCTCCATCCCAACATCAGGCAAGACTGTCTTTTCTTCCCCATCGGTTTTTACCCATATGGACATATGTAAATACATACCATATGTCCAAGAGGGTCAGGATAATGCAGGAACTGGATCTGCCAACAGCCTGGATGAGCCTGCAAGTGGATTCTCCCAGAGCCTCCAGAGAGAAATGAGCCCTGCCAACACCCTGATTTCCACCTATAAGTGATGTGGGGCAGGTAAGCCTCCAAATCGGGGCTCTTGGCTTTGCCGGGAAAAGAAGTCAAGGGTGAGCCAGTGGTGCAGAAAGCAGCCTTGGATGAGAGAGATCCAAGATGGCTGATCGCTAACAGCTCCCAGTGAAAGCGCAGAGAACAAGAGGACGCCACACTTTCAGACGAATTTTTGTTGCTCACGGATCAGGAGATTCCCAGTGGAGGAGCCCCATGGGTTGCCAGCACGACTCTTATGGCCGGCGCCTCGGCCCAGCGGTTCTTGGTGCAGAATAAACGGGACTGGTTCCCCTTTTGACCAACGTTTGGAGCTCCGGGAAGGCAGAGTCGTCTATTCAGCTGATTGAAGGACGGACTCAAGAAGGAAGCCAGACTGGAGATTCCCGGTCAGAAATGCACCATGAATCTTAACGCCACTGTTTTAGCCGGTGTAGTGGGTTGCTCAGATTCTGGCGCTGGGAATCAATAAACTGGATGTCCACTCAGAAACCTAATTAGAAAGGCGGTAATTACAAAGATGACAGATGGATAAATTTATAACAAAGGGAAGAAACCAGCCTAAAATGGCTGAGAATACCCAAAATCAGAACGCCTCTCCCTCTACAGGGGATTATAGTTCCTCATCAGCAAGGGAACAAGGCCTGATGGAGAACTGTGTTCTATTAACAGAAGTAGGCTTCAGAAGGTGGATGATAAGAAACTTCTGGGAGTTAAAAGAACTTGTTCTAACCCAATGTAAAGAAACTAAGAACTTTGAAAAAAGGTTTGATGAAATCCTAACAAGAATAGACAATTTAGAGAGGAATATAAGTGAATTAATGGAGTTGAAAAACACAACACGAGAACTTTGTGAAGTATGTACAAGTTTTAGCAGTCGAATTGATCAAGCAGAAGAAAGGATATCAGAGGTCGAAGAACAACTCAATGAAATAAAATGAGAAGACAAGAATAGAGAAAAAAGGATAAAAAGGAATGAGCAAAGTCTCCAAGAAATATGGGACTATGTGAAAAGACCTAATTTACGTTTGATAGGTGTACCTGAATATGACGAAGAGAATGAATCCAAGCTGGAAAATACTCTTCAGGATATTATTCAGGAAAACTTTCCCAACCTAGCAAGGCAGGACAATATTCAACTCCAGGTAATACAGAGACCACAAAGATATTCCTCAAGAAGAGCAACCCCAAGGCACATAATCATTAGATTCACCAGGGTTGAAATGAAGGAGAAAATACTAAGGGCAGCCAGAGAGAAGCTCAGGTTACCCATAAAGGGAAGCCTATCAGACTTATAGCAGATCTCTCAGCAGAAACCCTACAAGCCAGAAGAGAGTGGGGGCCAATATTCAACATCCTTAAAGAAAAGAACTTTCAACCCAGAATTTCATATCCAGCCAAACTAAGCTTCACAAGCAAAGGAAAAATAAAATCTTTTATGAACAAGTAAGTGCTCAGAGATTTTTTTACCACCAGGCCTGCTTTACAAGAGCTTCTGAAAGAAGCATTACATGTAGAAAGGAACAACCAGTATTAGCCTTTCCAAAAATATACCAAAAAGTAAAGAGCATCAACATAATGAAGAATTTACATCAACTAATGGGCAAA